AATGCCTCCTGCCTTCTCTTTGTTGCCCAGGATTGCCTTTACTATTCTAGGTCTTTCCTGGTTCCAAATAAATTTTAGGAACAATTTCTCTAGGTCTGGAAGGTATGTTGGTGATAGATTAATAGGGATTGCATTAAATCTGTACAACAATTTTGGGAGTAAGGCCATCTTCAAAATGTTGGTTCTTCCTATCCAGGAGCAGAGAATATCTTTCCATGTTCTGAAATCATCTACGATCTCCTTTTTCAGAGTACAATAATTTTCATTGAATAAATTTTGACTTCTTCAGTTAGAGTAATTCCTAAGTATTTCATTTTCCGCAATGCTATTGTAAAAGGTATTGTTTCTCTCATTTCCCTGTCAGTGTATTTGTTATCTTGGTAGAGGACTGCTATTGACTTTTGGATATTGACTTTGTATCCTGCTATTCTACTAAATTTGTGTATTAATTCTAGTAGCTTATTGGTGGAGTTTTTTGGGTCTTCCAAGTAAAGTATCATGTCATCTGCAAATAATGATAGTTTAATTTCTTCTTTATGTATTCTTATTCCTTTTATTTCTTTCTCTTGTCTAATGGCTCTAGCTAATGATTCCAGAAATATATTGAATAGAAGAGGTGATAGAGGTCCTCCTTGTCTTGTACCAGATATGCGATTGAAAGATTTTTTTGTATTTTAGGGAAGGGTCTATGGAGTGTTCAGGGTCTCACTACTAGATCAGACTCATAGTGATACACCTCTTTACAGCCTCCCAAGAGCTGAGATTACCTGAATGCGCCACTATGCCCAGTCTCAATTGCCATCTCAGTGAGCCCCAGAAGCAGGGCCAGCATGGCAGGCCCAGGGATCGAAACCCCCAGCCCCTGTGCCTGCTTGCAGGTGCTTTAATCTGCTGAGCTATTTTGCCAGCCCTTAAAATTCTTTTTATGTTCTAGATAGAAAGCCTTTGTCAGAGGGTCAGTTGAGTATAATTTTTTCCCAATTTGTGGGTTTTCTTATTTTATCACACTGTAAAGATAGTCCTAAAGAGAATTTCTAAAATTGCTTCAGAAGGTGGCAAGAACACTGGAATAAAGTGTTTGAAGCAAGGTGGGTATTTCAAGGGAGATTAAGAGCAGTATGTCTTACTGTATTAAATTTTACTTTATATTTATTTATTTATTTTTAATGTATTCGGTATAGGGTCTCACTATGCAGCTCAGACTCATAGTGATACTCCTGTTTTCAGCCTCCCTGGTGCTGGGGTTACAGCCATGTGCCACCACACCTGTTCTCTGTGGCTGGCTCAGTGCACCCAGGGACAGGACCGGCATGACATGCTGTGCCAGGGATTGCACCCTGGTCCCCTGCACTTGCATGAGCAGAAACTTCATCTGCTGAACTAGCTTGCCATCCCTTATTGTAGTAAATTTTATTTACTTATTTATTTATTTATTTATTTATTTATTTTTTCTTTGGATCTTCATTTCTTTCTTTTTTTATTTCTTTTTTTTAATTTTTCAACAAATAATACACTGCATATATTCTTCTTAGTGGTTAATTGCTGTACAAGATGCGGACTTGTGATCCTATTTACAAACACCATTAGAACAAATCATTCTATTCATTAACAGAATGTAACTATATATCTATCCTAACCACTTTGAATACACACATACAAAATGGACATTCATCTGTATACCCCATTTTTTCTAAGTTCCGTTATTGAATATTATAGGTGTGTAAACTCAGCAAAATATTCTAAGAGTCCAGTAGCCCAAAATAGCATTGGGTCTTCTGTTTAACTGGCAATGTCAGAAATTATTGACCTGAATGTAGTAAATTTTAAAAATATAAACTTTATCTCAATCATATTTCATATGTAAACATTTGTTTTCAATTTTGGTATTTAATAACATAGTAAAACATCTTAATTTGGATATATAATACTACTACCTATAAGTACTAAGCATGAAAAATCATTTGGTACTGGATATAAAGAAGCTATATCTCTGGTTTATCTTGTCATATGCGTAGATTTACTCTTGTGCAGCAGGAGCCTGGGAACCAACGTTGTTTTATCATAATTCATGCCCGTTTGGTTTTTGAAACAGCAGAAAGCGGGGTAACTGAATCCAGTGCAGTGCCGACAGCCATCAAGATGACATGATATGTGCATGTACCAGTTGTTCTCATTTTTTTAAGTAGCAGGCTAATTAAGGACCTTGAAGAGTGTTACAGAGTTTTATGATCTGTTGATGTATCATGGCATATAAGAAGTAAAATTACTTAATGGAATGTTTATAAGCAGGCACAATTTGTAGTGCATAGTTTCCAACAGAGATCAAGAAGTGTTTTGTTTGTAGGCATGAAAGGAAAAGAACGTCTCCTGAACCTGATTGCCACATTGCTGGTCCTACAATTTCTTCGCTCCCAGTTGGAACAAGACAAAATAATCTTCAAATCCTTGATGAAATTGGATGACCCTTCCATTTCCAGGTGTGTATGAGTTGATTTTCTGTCACTGTGATGACAAAAAAAACAAAACAAAACAAAACAAAACAAAAAAAAACAGAGAGAAAATCACCTTAAAGGAAGAAGGCTTTATTTTGGCTCATAGTGCCAGAAGTTTCAGTCTGTGGTCATTTGGCTCTGTAGTTCAGGATCCTCTGGTGAAAGAGTGCATCATATCCAGAAAGCAAAGAGAGGGAAAGAGGAAGGGGCCAGGGACAAAGTCTCCCTTGAAAGGCATGCCTCCAGTCCAGTGACATACTTCCTCCAACTGGGACCCACTTCCTAAATTTTCCCCATTTCCCATAGCTCATTAAGAGACTATAAATGGATTAATCCAGTTATGAGCTTGGAACCCCTCTGATCCACTCACCTCTCAAAGGCCCACCTCTCAACACTGCTCCAGTGGGAACCAACACTTGAACCCATGAGCTTGTGGGGGACATTTAAAATCCAAACCAAAGCTACGTGTGGTTACATACACCTTGTAATCCCAGTTCTGAGGCAAGTAGATTGTGAGTTCAAAGTCATCCTAGGCTACATGGTAGGATTCTGTCTTCTCAGCCACCCTCAAAATCCAAACCATAATACAAGCAGCTTTAACTATAATAATAAGCAACTAACAAAAGTAATAATAGTAAAATGCAACTCACAGTTTCAACAGTTTCTTAAATAAACCTTTCAAGAAGCTACATGAAATTACATTACATGTATATTCTATTTTGCAAGCAATAAGAGAATTTGTTCACCAGTGAGAGCTTGCCCATAGTTCCTGTGTTAGGCAGGGCTGATATGGTATTTTTGCCTCTGGCTACACAGGCTATGGTCTCAGATACCTTATGTGTAGCCTAACCCTGGACCTCAGCTGTCCTGGCTCCTGGTTTGATGCTGCAATCTTATGCATCTTAGAAGAACCACCATATAATGCAGTAGGTACTTCTATTTACATATTTTCCTAAATATTATAGCTATTAGAACAAGTGAACTTTCTGTTTTATTTACTATTTATTTATTTATTTATTTATTTATTTATTTGCGGAACTGGGGATTGAACTCAGGCCCTTGCACTTGCCAGTGTATTTACTTATTTTTTATTGATGGAGTCTTACTGCATTTCCCAAATTGACCTCAACTTCTGGGCTCAAGTAGATCCTTTTTTCCTCAGCCTGCTAATAGCTGACACTGCAGATTTATAGCACTATTCTTGGCTGTAAAACTGTTCAACTTTTGAACTACAATATTATAAAGCATTGAGCCAAGATTTAAAAAAAAAATGACAAAGGATGCTCTTGCTATATTACTACTCTGAAAGCAAAATATGTTGGCATATTAATAACTAAAACAACATTTTTAAAGTAGCTTTTGTTTATTGCACAATTTATCTTTTTAAATTTATTTTATTTTGAAAAGTAAAAACAAAAGGAAGAACAAAAAAATCAAAGACAGAAACAGGGTAACATACCACAATACATATGTTACAGGTTTTCAAAGCAAGAATAGTTGATTAACAATGGTTGATATATTATCTACTTTTATCATCAAATCTATTGCATAATTTAATTTTTCTTTTTATGTTCCATGATGTGTATAACATTAATATAGTAGTATGTTAAATGGAGGTATGTCAGGAAGGTTTTCTTAGTAATGAGACAGTTGATTATAAAGCTATATTGCATCTGTAATCCTGGTTGAAGCAGAAGGATCCCAAATTCAAGCCCAGCCCAGATACTCAGCAGTGAAATTAAACCCTGTTTAAAACTAAGGGTGTGGGTGTGTGGGTGTGTGTGTATGTGTGCGCGCGCATCTATGTGCATGTGTGCTGGAGATGTACCTCAGTGTGAAGACCCTGGGTTAAATTCCCAGTACCAGCAACAAAACAAACCATAAAAACCTCTGAGGAGATAAAATAATGAGAATAATTTTATCAAAGATAATAAAATAGCATATAGCATCTATTGACTTGAATGCATCCTTAGAAAAGTGAATGTAATAAAAACCCAAGACAGTTTGGGAAATTATATGCTTTCTAGCAAATACATATGATTTTATTTTTAAATCTTTTTTGTTCTTTCTTCCTCCCATGTATCCTTCCTTTCTTTTTTCTTTTTTTGGGGGATGTTGGTGGTGCAGGGAACCAAATTTAGGGTCTTGCACAGGCTAAGAAGTATTCTACCACTAAGCTACAACCTTAGCCCCTTTTGTGAATTTTTAAAAAGCATTGGATGTTATGTCTTGTGTCTCAATGTCCTCTGGAAGCCTCATACAGTCAGGCACAGATGGCTGGATCTAAAATGTGTGATGCTGGCATCAGGAAAGTGCATAAGTAAATCTCTTATTAGCTTGGCACATTTCTGGAAGTGTGCAATGGGAAGGCCTATGCTATGTAAGACCCTAGGTAAAATAGAAAGAGGCTGCTGTAGTCACGTGCTGCTTTTACTACCTTCTGCTTGGTATGGACTATTTCACCTCTGTGATGCCCTTCTACCAAGCTACCCTGCCTGGGATCCACCCGATTATGGTCTGAAACCTGTACAAACTATGAGCCAAAATAATCACCTTTCTTCATTGGGTGTGGGGCCCTTTGTCTCAGCAATGAGAGAAATAACTAAGACCCTCTTCTTTTTTTTTTTTTAAATGGTGGAACTGGGGATTGAACTCAGGCCCTCGCTCTTGCCAGGGAAGTGCTTACTCCACTGAGCCTTCTCCCCGGCCCCCTAAGACCCTCTTTTGTAAAGTATATTAAATGTTATAAAAAGCTAGGCAAAGCCAGATGTGGTAATGCAGGACTGGAATCCTAGCACTTGGGAGGCCAAAGCAGGAGGATTGCTGCAAGTTCAAGGGTACTGTCTCACAAAACAAAAACAAAACTAAGTAAAAAGCTACTCATGGAGATACACTCCTGTAACTTGAGCAGTCTTAGAAGATGAGACAGGAGGATTGGAAGTTGGAGTCTAAGCTGAGCTACTTAGTAAACTCACTGAGACCATGTCTCAAAACATAAAATGGGACAGGGAATGTAGCTTATTGTGAAGGTCCTGGGTTTCAATCACTCATACCAAAAAGAAAAAATGCAAACAATGTCAACTAGAATAAGGAAAGGCCCACTGAATTAGTCATTATTTAGTAACTATATGTTGATTAATAATTACTGCAAAACATCACACTTGTAGCCACTGTCAATATTTAGTATCCTCATTCAACTTAGCATTCATTGAGTACTGACTCTCTGTCCAGTTGTTAAATGTGTTAAATTTATGAGTTTTATTCATCTCCACAAGAAACCATCAGACCCCACGTTATCATAACTAAGGACACAGAGCCTCACAGTGTTGAAGGAAAGCTGCATATCCCATGGCCACTGAGAACATGCACCTCCCACTGTACTGGACAATGGCCATTGGCCTATTCACAGGAAAAACTCAGCAAAATGGAGAGGAATTTTAAAATATCATGTGCCCCTATACAGTTTTCTTACAGACTTTGATGTATGTTGCTACTTCTTTGCTATTTCTACCAGATGCCAAAGCAAATCAGGAAGTAACTGGTTAACATTAATGAAAAATGTTGGAAGTTTTGTGATTCTTGGATAAACTTAAGTATTTGAGTAATAACAGTTCAACATTGTGGACACAAGCTTGACATTTTAATGTCACACACATTTTACTACAGAATTGCTCTTGGTTTGCATGACACAGCAAAAAGTAGATGCCATTTCCTTGGATGACTTTTTAGTGTTCTGTAAGTAACTCAGCAATTTCAAACTTGCTAGTACAATAGGAGAGAGAGAGAGACAGAAGCCTCACTTGTAAAACAGTATTTCAAGTTTGTGCTTGAAAAATGGATACTAACATTGAAAACCCCAGAGCCGGGGACGTGGCTCAGTAGAATAAGCGCTTGTGGCAAGCACAAGGGCCCGAGTTCAATCCTTGGTTCCTCAAAAAAAAACAGTGAAAACCCCAAGATCTGACAAATTCACTATTGAATTTTACAAGAAACTAGAGAACTAATGCCACTAATGTTGAAACTTTTTTTTTTTTTTAATGCCGAAGCTCTTTAATGAAATTAAAAGGGAGGCAGTACTTCCAAAGTCATTCCTGGAAACAAGTATTACCCTGCTACCAAAACCAGTGAGGGACCCAAAAAAAAAAAAACCAAACAAACAAAGAACATAAATGGAAGTGCCAGGGAGAGGGCTCAGTGCAATAAGTGCTTTCCTGGCAAGCACAAGGGTCTGAGTTCAATCCCCGGTTCCGCAAAAAAAAAAAAAAAAAAAAACATAAATGCAAAAATCCTCAATAAGACTGGTGAACAGAATGTAGCAAATCATCAAGAAGGTTATTTACCATAACCAAGTAGGATTCATCCCAAGAATGCAGGGATGATTCAATACACAGAAATCAATATATGTAATGTACTATATTAACACAACTAAAGACCAAAATAACACAATCATCTCAGTAGATGCAGAGAAAGCATTTGACAAAATCCAACACTAGTTCATGATAAAAGCCCTGTGAAAAACAAGAATAGATGGTCTTTAACTCAGATAAAAACTATATGACAACCCAACAATTAATATCATACTAAATGGTCCAAAACTGAAAGGTTTTACTTACAGGGTTGTCTTGTGTCACCATTCCTGTTTAAGATAGTTTTGGAAACATTAGCCAGAGCACTTAGATAACAGAGAAGAAAGAAAAGGATAAGAAAGGAGGAGGTTAAATTTTCATTATTTGTGGTTGACATGATAGTCTACATAGAAGAGTTACCCCAAATACTTCACCAAAAGACTTGTAGATTTATAACCAAAACTCAGTAATGTAGCTAGATACAAAGTCAACACTCAATCAGTAGCCTTACTGTGCACTGAAATAGAAATTAGGGAAACAGTGTATATTTTACAGTCAAGTGCTCTACCACTGAGCCATACCTCATCTTGTACCTTTTACAATAGCATGAAAAAAATGAAATAACTAGGAATCAACCTAATAGGAATCAAAAGACCTTTACATTGAAAACTACACTATTATTAAAAAGGAGACCAAAGAGGATATCACGAAATGGAGTGATATGACTTCTTCTTAGATAGAAAAACAACAGTGAAAATGGCCATGCTTCCAGAAATGTTACACAGATGTAATGCAGCCCAGATCAAAATACCAATAGCATATCACACAGAATTAAGAGAAAACTACCGTAAAAATTCATTTGGACCCAGAAGGGAAGCCATCTAGGCAAAAAAGGCAAGTCAAGGAGCGTCAGAATCCTTGACTTGAAATTATATTATAAAGGTGCTGTGATAACACAGCATGGTACTAGAAAAACAAAAATAAGAAGGGGAAGAGGTTAAAGGGGAAGAGGAAGAAAAAGAACTAGGGTATATCATGTACATGCATAGATTCCTTTTTTTTTTTTTGCATTTTTTAAGGAAAGGTCTACAGGGTGTTCAGGGTCTCGTAGTGATCCACCTGTTTATAGCCTCCCAAGACCTGGGACTGCAGCCACGTACCACCACACCCAGCAATTGCCATCTCAGTGCAACCCAGAGGTGGGGCCAGCATGGCAGGCCCAGAGATGGAACCTCCAGCCCCTGCTCCTGCTTGCAGGCACTTTAATCCACTGAGCTATTTGGCTGGCTCAACCAAATTCTTTATGATGAATGTTATCATTATATATGTCTAAAGTGTACCAATAAAATAAAAACTAGATAAATTTAAAATAAAATAGCCAGAAGTTTGAGTCCTACAGACAGCAAAGGCAGAGCGGATACTAGGGGAGATGATGTGTCATAGACTTGAAAATGTTTCACACATGCTCAGATGTCTTGTTTCAGTTGGAAGAACTTTCTCAATATGTCAGGTGAATTACTTTTATTAAATATCTTTATCTCTGACAGTTACTTTGTTTGACATAATGTGATGAACTTAATGACACATTATAGTTCACATGTGCCTATATTCTGAAATCAGTGGAAACATTTAACTTTTCTCCATCTAGGGATATCCCCTGGGACTTTGAGGCAGTAAAGAAAGCAAGTGAATGGGTCAGAAGAATGGAGGGACAATATCCATCCATCTGTAAACGGCTTGAGCTGGGTGAAAATTGGGATTTGGCCACTAAGCACCTTCTGAGAGTTCAGCCCCCAGCCTGCCCTTCTCTACAAAGAGTTCTGTGTTCTGGTCAAGCCTGAATTCAGTGAAGTTATGTTTTAAAATTTTTCATGCTTCTGTGTCAAAACATAATCAAATATTACTAAGCACCTATAATGGCATTTAGTTATGATTTTATTTAGTGCAGCAATCAGTACCTTTACTGTAAAGTAAATGGAAGCAGGATGGACTATTTTAATCAACTAACAAAATAAAGATTACAATATTGGATATTTTGTGCTTTGATGTTTTAAGGTGCTGAGAGATGTCTGATGGTCCTGGAGCCATAATTACCTCTCCTTCCAGGTGTCTGGTGGTGAACTTGTGGGCTGGGAAGAAGCTGTGTCTCTGACTGGTGTAGGCCCTAGGCCTTGGACACACCAAATCTTTGGGCCTCTGTGGTCCTCCTCCTGATTGTGCCTTCTCTTTCTGCAAATTCCTTGATACATGGCTTACTCACTATTTAAGAGAAATGTGTCCAAAGCAGTTCTTGAACATTTCTTCCTTTACTGTCCACATATAAAAACTCATTGCCAAACTCAAAGCCATCTAGAGTATCTACTTGTTTTCTAGTTTTACATTTTATATTTAGATGTATGATTTTTGGGGAATGAGTGAGATGGAGTCTCCCTTATTTTCTTGGATTTTTCCTCCCGAAAAGTGAGGAAGGGCCCATCTGATTAATTTTGAGTTGCAATTTATAAAAGGAAGATCACTTACAACCTTCTGCCACTGCAGAGCCTTCCTAGAGTGAAGGCAGGATGTTACTTCACAGTAGTTGCAGCAAAGGTGTTACATGTTGGCCCCACCAGAAAGCACAGACACACCAGCTGTGCACAGCTGAGTTACTCATATGATGTGCACCAATCAGTATTTTCCTTACACACCAGAATGCTACATAAGGTCTAGATCTGAAAACATACTCCAGACTCAGCGTTTGAGGTAGACATTGCCCACTGGCCTTCTGTGTTGATTTGTAGGATTTGATCTGCCTTTCTCTCCAGCTAAAGTGATAAGGAGATATGAGATGAAAATGAAGCTCAACCTACACTTTTCTTACACTGGACCTCACCATACACCAACCAACGTCGCTTCAGCAGTGCCAGCCAGGTGGCTGCTGCCTCAGCTCAGTTCTAACACTGTATTTGGAGATAACATCAGGCCAGCAGAGGCTGGGGGCTTGATGCTCAGGAATCTACAGTTAGAGGCCAATTCAAAGCCCAATGTTATTTTACCTGCACTTCTCAATGACTGCTATATATTAGGTTTCCCACAATGCCCTCCTTGGACTCAACAAATTTGTTAGAGTGGCACATAAAATTTAGTTATGCTTATTCATTATTTAATTTACTGGATCATGTTTCTAGTCTAGGGGGGTACCCAACTTTAGATAAAGTCTCAACATAGCAGACCTCCTCACCCAAAAACAAAAGAGTTTACCTGAAGAAACCCAGGTATCTGGCTCATCCCCTACTTGGCTAGACCACCAGCCAGTGTGGAGGTGCTCAGAACTCTGGACAACTAGCTTGACCAGAGGAATCAAGAGGAACTGTGTTCTTTAATCTAGGAGTTAATTGGAAAGATTCTCACCCTGACTAACTATATATACTGTTACCTGGGAACTAAGCTACTGCACTGCAGATGGTAATTTGTA